TACAAAGCCAATTACAGAGTATGACAAAGTCCAAATATCAAATATACACAATATCTTACATATTACACACAAATGTAGGAAGTTCTATCACAAGGATACTACAGGGTGACTTTGAAGTTGAGTCATTAATTTTCAGATAATGATTGTAGAAGGAAGATAAACCAAAATATGTGTGTAAAAATAAAAAAAAATTAAAAAAAAGTTACCTTGTTTTATAAAGTATCCTCCCGACAAGTATTTCAGTGCGGACCTGTATTTGATCGTGCGGTCTTGGAGCACCGGGATGCCCTCCCCTGTGAGGTCTTAAGTCACCTGATTCACGAGCCCTTTGTGCTACAATAACAAAGGCACGAGGGATTGGTTGCACTCGATTTGGAAACCGATTCGCACAAATCTGTGATGCCGCGGCAGCATTTTGTAGAGACTCCCCCCCCCCCGTAAATAAGAATCATGTCCACAAGTTCAGCATTTTCGTAAATATGTGCCATTTTTTATTTCGTTTGAGCCACGCAACAAACACCACTATTCACTCACGCGTTACCGACTGAAACATTGACTAACATCGTGATAAACGTTTCAAATTCTTTCGCTTTTTTGTTTCCGATGCGATGAACCGATAAGGCGGATTATATCCGTTGTTGCCAAACACGAGCACATAATATTATTATTGAGACAGGGCAGTACTCAAACTTCCAAAGGGCTATAACTTTGTTACTTTAATTTTACCAGAAAAATGTTAAAGGAAAAAACATTTCTTTTGATCAGATCTACTCACTGTTAAAATAAATGACTCAACTTCGAAGTCACTCTGTATATACAAATATTTACAAAAATCCTTTATTTCATGCAATTGATTGAGGGGCACACCACCAATATCATAGCCAAATATGATCGACTGTGTCTTGTTCGTATAACTGACCACGTTGCACTTCTCAGCATTCAATGGCTAACTATTTTCCCGACTCTAGCAGTTGAGCATGTTTACGTTATGCTGTAACTTTTGACAGTCAGTTAGAGATTGAATGGGACAGAGAAGCTTCAGGTCATCCGCATATAAAAGAAAAGTAACATCCAATTGTAGTTCAATGTCATTTATAAAAATAATGGAAAATAAAGGTCCCAGAACACACCCCTGGGGAACACCTAATGCAATTTTATAACTGTTAGATTTAAAGCCATTGTGCGAAACAAAAGATACTCCATTTGACAAATAAGATTTAACAAGCACTAGAAGATGGCCAATGACACCAAAGTCAGCTAAATTGTCAAGAAGAATGCCGTCATCTACTCGGTCAAAGGCCTTTGAGAAATCAGTATAAATGACATCCACTTGAGTACGAGAATCTACGTAATATTTCCAGATATATACTGAGCAGTGCAGAATAAGTTTGTCACAGTTGATCGTTTTTTCATGAAGCCGTGCTGTTGAGTTGATAAAGTAATATGCACATGCCAGTAAACTGCATCATATATAAGAAACTCAAAGTATTTCAGTGCGGACCTGTATTTGATCGTGCGGTCTTGGAGCACCGGGATGCCCTCCCCTGTGAGGTCTTAAGTCACCTGATTCACGAGCCCTTTGTACTACAATAACAAAGGCACGAGGGATTGGTTGCACTCGATTTGGAAACCGATTCGCACAAATCTGTGATGCCGCGGCAGCATTTTGTAGAGACTCCCCCCCCCCCCCGTAAATAAGAATCATGTCCACAACTTCAGCATTTTCGTAAATATGTGCCATTTTTTATTTCGTTTGAGCCACGCAACAAACACCACTATTCACTCACGCGTTACCGACTGAAACATTGACTAACATCGTGATAAACGTTTCAAATTCTTTCGCTTTTTTGTTTCCGATGCGATGAACCGATAAGGCGGATTATATCCGTTGTTGCCAAACACGAGCACATAATATTATTATTGAGACAGGGCAGTACTCAAACTTCCAAAGGGCTATAACTTTGTTACTTTAATTTTACCAGAAAAATGTTAAAGGAAAAAACATTTCTTTTGATCAGATCTACTCACTGTTAAAATAAATGACTCAACTTCGAAGTCACTCTGTATATACAAATATTTACAAAAATGGCAGTGTAGATAAAAAATTAAATAGCAAATAGCAGACAAGACATCATAAGGAACCACGCAGCAGACAAGACATCAGAGAAATATATATAATTGATCGGCAATGTCATTCGCTTTACTACATGAGCTATACAATGGAGAAAACTTTAAAATATTTGTTCTAGGGGTAGGCAAATAAAAGGTATTGCATTGTCTAGCATTCAAACGCGGGACAAGGAAATTAAAATCATGCAATATATTGCAACAATCAATACGAACTTAACACTGCACTTATCACGCCTCTCCCTAAGACTTTGAAAATCGAAAGCTTCTTCTAAAGACTCTTGTGGATAGCCAATCGGTGGGTAGATGCCATTTTCTTTAAAGTAAAGGTACTTCAAAAATACCGTTGGATATTTTCGAGTTTGTATATCCAGAAGCAGTAGGAGAGCTGCCAAATATTTGCCGCATATTCAAGCTTCGATCTTACAAGTGAGTTATATAGAAGCTTAATTGTTTTAATATCCTGCAACTCGCAACCACAGCGTATGATGAAGCCCAGCTTTTTGTAACTATCTGCAATAATTGAATCCATATGACCATTGCAGCATTATTTACTGTTGAAAATGACACCTGAATCCTTTATTTCATGCAATTGATTGAGGGGCACACCACCAATATCATAGCCAAATATGATCGACTGTGTCTTGTTCGTATAACTGACCACGTTGCACTTCTCAGCATTCAATGGCTAACTATTTTCCCGACTCTAGCAGTTGAGCATGTTTACGTTATGCTGTAACTTTTGACAGTCAGTTAGAGATTGAATGGGACAGAGAAGCTTCAGGTCATCCGCATATAAAAGAAAAGTAACATCCAATTGTAGTTCAATGTCATTTATAAAAATAATGGAAAAGAAAGGTCCCAGAACACACCCCTGGGGAACACCTAATGCAATTTTATAACTGTTAGATTTAAAGCCATTGTGCGAAACAAAAGATACTCCATTTGACAAATAAGATTTAACAAGCAGGAGAAGATGGCCAATGACACCAAAGTCAGCTAAATTGTCAAGAAGAATGCCGTCATCTACTCGGTCAAAGGCCTTTGAGAAATCAGTATAAATGACATCCACTTGAGTACGAGAATCTACGTAATATTTCCAGATATATACTGAGCAGTGCAGAATAAGTTTGTCACAGTTGATCGTTTTTTCATGAAGCCGTGCTGTTGAGTTGATAAAGTAATATGCACATGCCAGTAAACTGCATCATATATAAGAAACTCAAAAACTTTTGAAAAGTTGTTAATTATCGTGATTTGTCTATAATTCTCAATATCGCTCTTGTTAGCCTTATTTTCAAGAACAGGACAAACTTTTGACACTTTCCACGATGATGGATATTTACCATTTTGCAGCGATAAGTTGAATATCGTTGCTAAAGGCTTCGCAAATACAGATCCACCGTCTTTCAATATAAAAGCCGGAATGCCATCTGGACCAGAAGTTAATTTAGGCGTTAGTCTTCTCAAGGCATCATAAACCTCATTCACATTAAATTCAGTCACTGTTAAAGGACTACTTCCGGTTGACTGAGTGGAGTTGGTTTTGCCACTTGAGCTAGCAATAAAAGATTTACTGAAAAAGTCAGCAAAGCCGTTTAGAATATCTTGAGGCTCACTTATATCCGAACCGTTATAAGTCACATTATTAGGTATAGAGCCATGACCTCTTCTGCTGTTGGCAAATAACCAAAACTTTGACGGGTCTCGCTTTATATCATCTTCAGCTTTTTTTACATAGTCTTTATAAGCAATATCGATATCCTTTTTAATTTTGAGTCTCAAAGCTTTGTAATCATGCAAGGTCATTTCTCAGAATTTAACTTTAACCTCCTAAACAATATCTCCTTAGTTCTGATATCCTTTATTATGGTACCATTAAACCAAAGCGGGAATTGTCTACGACATCTGGTGGTGGAGTACTTTGGGACACACAAAGAAAAAATTACATTCAATGCAGCATAAAATTGTTCACACGCTTCCTCAACATCATGAATGCTATCGAGAAAGTTCCAATGGGTGCAGAATAGTTGATCATACAATAAAGAGATATTAGATTTTCTGAAGTTAAAAAAATTAGGCACCATTCTGCCAAATTGAATTTCTTGCTTGGGAAGCTATTCATTAATGGAGATAACTACCGCCGGGTGATGCTGATCCTCCATCAGTATGGGATCGCTGCATTTATCAACACTACACATGAAATTGCATAAAACAATATCTGAAAGTCTCATGTTAGAATTGAAAACGTAATTATATTGCTCAAGAGAATAAAAGATGCAAAAGTTAAGCAAACTACTAACCACAGTAGATTCCTCATCACTTAGCACATATGACGCATAACTAGAAATATTAAAATCACCCAGAATCAAAATATTGGCATCATGCAAGGGATGAATTGCACAGATTAATTCAAAAACAGTTTCATATGTAGAAAGAGGTTCCGTAGGTGGGATATACAACACCAAAATGCATAAACTTGTTTTCCCAAATACAGTTTTTACTCCAAGAATATCCACAGCAGGTAAATTACATTGCACATCTAAACAGACTGAGAAAAATTTATCCGTGATTGCCAAAAGTACGCCACCTCCACGTGTTTTGTTTACAAGAGAAAAATTTCTCTTTTCTGCACACATTGTAGTTCTGGTTAAATAATTCAGAATTATTAACTGAAGAGTCCAACCAGGTCTCAGATAGGGCATAGCAATCAAAATCAGCTGCACACGTGCCGTTATAGAAAGCAGAAGTTTTAGTTCTCAGGCCTCTTACATTTTGATAATAAACAGAGAGCTCTGGAGAGTTTTTTGAAGAAGTTGTGGGTTCCAAGGTGCAAGAACTAGACTCAGAGGCAATTGGTTGCTATTTTATACTTAACAGATCGGCTCGCAACTTGCTACAAGCTTGTAAGTAAGAGGAGCAATTTTTAATATCCCAGGCGGCGTGATTAGTACAAACGTTAAGCTCACCTTTGCTTCGTCGAAAAACGCAGTTGATACTCTTTAAAGTAGCAGACTTGCAATCCTTGACAGCGTGGTTTTCCCCACATCTCGGGCACGAGCGCTCTTTCTTACATAATTTAGAAGAATGATTAAATCCATTGCAGTTGAAACAACGAGATACTTGCACAGCATCAAAATATCTACAGCAGTCTAAACCAATGAATACATTGCCTGCCTTCAACATATTCACATATGAGGTTTTGTCTACTTGAACAACAGCCTGATATTTTGCTTATCGCGCTTGAAAGGAAGAATTTTTATTATTTTACAATCATTCGGACTACTAATAAGTACATCATTCATATTGATTAACCCTTAACTGGTAACGTGCAAATTTGGAACACAACTGGTAACGTGCAGTCTGTGAGACTGGCACCTTTTCAAATCAAAAATAAATAAATGAACCTTATAATTTTTTACAAATATATATGAAGGTATGTTAGTTGCATATTCTCAGTAATAATTTTACATAAAATATCCGGGAAAATTAACGTGAAAAAAAATTAAATAATAATTATCAACTTGAAAAAAAAAATTGGTAGTGTAATTTCCAAGGGAGCATGATAATGGAAAAAATGATAAATGAAAGCAATGTTATATATTTTACTATTAATGATAAATGAAACAATACATCAATGAAACAAAACGTTAAGAAATTTTGCATTTCAAAGGTCCCAGCAGGTCCTAAATCTAAGGCTTATTCGCACAAGTGTTGCATTTGGGATGTGAACACTGCAGGCATACTGGTTTCCTACACTCCAAGCACAGATATTTTGTCATTCGATGTGTGGTCTTATGACACAAATAACAGGCTTTTCGCTTTTGCAACATCCAATTTTCCTGTCTTTCGGGTAAATTTTCCGTTCTGTCGGGTAAATTTTCTTCTGGTCTGCCGAGGATACGTGATATGGTGTAGCGTAACTCGCGAGGCAAACGAGGATTCTGTAGTCGTCTTTCCATGTGTCCTTGGACAAGTTTGATAGCTAGTTCTTTCGCAAATACAGATTTGTCTTTCATCACTTTATTGTTTTTGTAACACTGATGTAAGATGTATGAATTCACTACTGAGACGTCAATAATACGGTAAAAAACAGCTAAAGGCCATCTACGTGTACGACGACTAGAACTACTTTTTGCACATTTCTCATCAAGAGAATCCACCCCTCCTTTGTTGGCATTATAGTATGCAATTATTTCAGGTTTCATTGTCTCTGGATCAGTAAAAGTCCTATCATGCATTGTGGAGATAAGTATGGTAGCCTTGTTTTTCTTTCCAACATGGGAAATTATAGTTGAGTCTTCACGAAAGCCGTACAGAGTTGATCCATGTTCCCTTGCCTTGTTCGGTAAAAAACAAGGTGGAATTTCCTTTTTATTTTGCGGTTGCTCCCAAATAAAGGCTGTGCAAGACGTAAAACGGCTTGAGTTGGCTTAGAATAATTCCTGAATTCAGGGTCAAGTCCAATCCCATCGGAATCTTTTCCTGCGTATATATACGCATTGTAAAGGTAGGCATTTCTAGCATCTGTTAAAGCCATTATTTTTATCCCATATTTGGAAGGCTTGTTTGGCATATACATTTTGAATCTAGCTCTGCCACGAAAGCTCACAAGCATTTCGTCAACGGTGGTCGACTGGCCAATTCCATAGACATTTTGGCTATTCTCTATGAAACTGTTGAAAATAAAAGAAATTGCTGCTACAGGGTCCTGCTTTTTCCTTTCGTTCCTGTCCTCTGGATTGTCAAACCTCACTGCAGACAGAAGTGTAGCAAATCGTTTTTCGCTCATCACTGCCCTGAAGATGTCTCTTCCACTTCCATCTGTCGCAAAAATAGTTTTGATATTCTCATGGTTTGAATTGAAAACAGATGTGAATATCAAAAGTCCAAAAAAGCTCTCAACTCAATCTCGTCAACGTCTTTCAATGTGGTAGAATCCACTTTATACTTTGTTCGCATTGAACTTATTTTATGATTTGTCCATTTCACAATATGTTGTAACATTTCTTTGGTAAATAACAGTTGCCACACAGAAATAGGATCTGCTTCTTCTCCGAGCTGTCGAGCTTTTCCTTTGATAACAGGAACTTTCGTTACAATATTATGTTTCCTGGTACGAGATATTGGTCGAACTTCCGTTGTACACCATCTATGACGGTTTCTTCCAAATAAATACTTTCTCTCATCCACATTTTGTTGTTCTGTAACTTCGTCATTCTCGTCACTACTTTGAGATAACTCACTTCTACTATCATGATCGGAAATTTCAAATTCCTCGTCTGAGGTATTGCCCAAGTCACTAGATTCACTATATACTGCGTCATCTTCTTCATACCAACGCTGAAGAGTCTCCTCAAAATCCTTATCACCGTAACGTACACGTTTTGACGGGCCTGCCATGGCTACAAGTTGCAAGAAATTCTTACACAAACCGTAACGTGCCGTCTCACAGACTGCGCTGAAGTAACAATTACAACTGTCTCAAAGATGGTTTTCCCGAATTTACCACTGTTCATGCGGTAGACGGGGCACCAATAGGAGAACGATTAGATAAGGTCATTGACCGCAGCGCAGGTACAGTTTTGTTCCAACATTGAAAAAAAAATTGCTTGCAGTCTCACAGACGGCACGTTACCAGTTAAGGGTTAATCGATTGCGCAGGTGCTCAGCAGAATATTCCGAGGTCATACCAATAATACGAACCCTTGGATTGACACCACCAACATCTTTGACATCATAGGACCCAACCATTTTTTCTTGGACTAATTTCTTCAGTTTGAGATTGCCCTCAGTACTCTTACAGCCAATGAGGACGCCACCATCATTGAGGTACCAACTAGCAAAGTAGTGTTATAAGCTTTTCGTAAAAGAACTGTTCAGCCATAAAAGCTCTCTATTGTTCTTGCCTGAATACCAAAATACTGGCTTAATGTTGTGTGGAATGCAAATTTGCTTTCTGCAACATATTTGCTCTAAAATGAGGTGTCTAAAATATTCTTATAGCATAGTTATACAACACCTTATAGGGCAAATTTTTAACTGTTGCATAAACGTTTATACAACTATTTTATACGGCATATTTGCAGGTTAGTGGAAATGGTTGTATTGTGGCATCCATGGTAACGTTTATAAAACAAACCCGAGCCTTGTTGTTTTGCTGTGCAATTTACTACCTTAGCCAACAAATTGCTCCCAACGGAAGCACTTATACAACTGTTGTTTAGTAACTGTTAAAGGCTGTACATATGCTAAATATGTTGGTAGACAAATTCACCATAACCTAACTTTCTGCTGTCACATTTTTGTTGAAATGCCATAACCAACGTTTTAAGACAAACAACGCCTGCATATTGGTTCAAAAGGTCTTATCAACTGTTCAAACAGAAGATATAGATCTGGTACAAATTCTGGGTAAATGATTCGACTCTGTCGGTATTTCATTTTAGACATTTGTCAAATTGTTGTATAACATCTGCAGGCAACATTAAAATATTCTAATAACCTAAAGACAACATGGACGATGCCATGATTGTACACAACCACCCGCCATATTGGTCGAACATTTATTCCTCTATTTAATATTAAATAATTATGTTTCAGTTCGAAATTACAGATATAAAGTGATAAACATTAGTGTAATTGTGCCTAAATGTAGGATTTGTGGAAGATTTATCGCAGATAAGTTCAGTTTTCCATCTTAAAATCTAGACATACTTTTGATCATTGTCAAAATATGAATCAAATACGAAGCCCGTAGAAATTTGCACGATAATCACAATATAATTTGCTGCGCAAGTAATTCAATAGCCCTATATCACAGTTTAGAAGTTTATCATATACCTGTGTATGAAATTCACAATGGCCGATATGTAAGTAAACAAGACGACTGTAATGTGTTAGTTATATATTATTCACTTCGTCTATACAATACATAAGAAATAGTTTGGTTGCAATAAAGTAGAATCACGTAACAGAATAGTTGTATAGTTGACAAAAACTGAATCTTGCACTGACGCAAATGTACTATAGCCGCTGCAAGAGGCTTACACTTTTGTTTTTAACTGTTACCTGCAGCCCTTATACAACCTCTTAAATGACTGTAGTGTCCTATTAGGTGTGCCCATTCCGCTTGTATAGCTGTTCTAAGAGGGTTTTGCCAATGTTCTTACAGTATACAATGCTGTTTAAGGAATACTGTATAATCATTCTTGCAACTCTAATAGGAGTGATTATTGTTAGTTGGGGTGTTTCATCTTGGATATATGAATTTCATTAGCAACTAAATTCACGTTCTGTAGAATATCAATCTTCGTTATTGACGAATCTTGTGCTTCTTTAGGCTTAATTACGACAGCAGGAACCGTCTTATTCCTTAAGACACTGGCATATGAGATCAGTTTGTTAACACTTGAAGCATCGGGATTCTGCAGAACAGCTTGATCAACAGTCAACTTAAGACATTAATCTGTACGACAATCGAATCCAAGGCATGACTAATTTTGCTTTCAACAAGTTGACCAAGATCTGTATCCTCTATAGAAACATCAAAAGCTGGAATAGTCATTACACCTCCAAGACAGCCCAGGAATCTGTTTGATAAGTGTAGGTAAGTCCACAGTACCAGCATAAACACAAGAAACATGTACCACTTTTTTGCACGGTCCGCCGCAAAAAATGGACGCTTGTTTCCGAGAAACTGCTGTTTCACATATTAGGCAGATGAGAGTCATTCTAAATTCTAATAATTCAGCTGTTTACCTCACTGCAACCAGCTAACAATACCTCGGCTACAACTTCATGCCACACTGCAACGGCTGATGTGACTTTGATCGATAAAGACACCCAAAAAACACAAAGAACTGGCACTTCTCACAAAGACGATGTGTGATACGTTAAACCTTGCTTGCTTTCCACGAGACTGCTTATGCTGACGAAGCTACTCGTGCATCCAAACGTGTATTCAGGTTTCATAAACACGGGGTTGTTTCTTTACTGCATCATCAGAACATATCAATTATAATCGTTGAGGCGCAAAACAAAGAAGTTAATTTGACTTGGCACGGCATAGAAAATATGTGTAAGGCTTTAAATGCATCGTGAAATGTGCATCAATGATAGCGGTGTCTAGTTTTGAACCCGCTACCCGGAGCTTGTGTGGCTGTAGGTCAAACTGTCCAAATTACATGGGAAAAAGGCGGATTTGTTAGGAGGGTAACCTATTTTTGAGGACTTCACCACCTTTTGACGTCCCGAATCAATTGAAATTTTTATAACCTTAGACATAACCTTGTACTTTCCAGATTATTCTCCTCCGTTGTTAACAAATTCAAATTCAGGTTATATAAACACGTTTAGGCCTTTAAATAATCCTACTACATTATCTGACGTTATAGCCATCAAGAAGACAACAGGAATAAAAGTTAAAATCAGCCTTAGAGGCTATGAATGACATGGAGGAGGATTGGGCGTCAAAATCTACATGTCTGACCATATCTGACTCCTAACGCCCAATGTATAAAGTAATAATTTTCTCGTGGGGATGTTTACATAAATCGTTGTAATTCAATTTAGGATTTGGGAGTGCTTTTTGACCATTTTTCAGTCCACATAGCTCAAAAAGCAAATGAAGCTTCGTGGACCTACGGTTTCATTGTGAGAAGCTGCAGAAGCTTCAACCGGCCAAAGTCACTGTTGGTTTTGTTTTCTGCATATCTTTTATAAAACCTTTTATTGTGTTACAGGGCGTGCAAAAATTTATTTTTGAAAGCACCCATAATTATGTAATGTCAATGCCATATCTAATTATTGTAATACACATGCTGACAGTTTGAACAGAATTCTGGGAGTAGCTAGATATTACTTAAATAATGCTTATGATACGTTTCTCACTTGAGCGAAATATGTTTCTTGTTTGTTTTCTCCTTTAGATGGAATCACCTGTCTTTTTGTACGTTTTTCATTTTTGTTAGTTTGATTTATCTTATAGGATTGTCTTGTAAATGGTTTCCTGAGCTGTTAGGCACTTAACGCTATTTATTTATATACACACAGACATCCAAATGATATCTTTATACTCGACGACATACCCTTCGTAACATCTTGTCCAAAGTATCCTGACTGCTTGCAGTCCACAAGCTATAATAGCGAAATGTCGGTTGCATCTTTTAAGGCAAATAGAGGACTTTTACCTTGTAGGTGATTACCTAGTGCAGTTAGTTTACGTAATATGGCTGACGTTCATTAGGAGTATGAATGCGCGTCTAACCAATGAGACTCATTTTGGATATACTAGGACAAGCTAAGGCCTTCCCAAATTCCAAAAAGACAAACGTCTTCAAGGTTTGGTTCACTACAAGAATAGAAGAGTCACACTTATGCTTCGTCTTGCTGGCTACAGCAGCCTGGTTGACCTAGCTTTCCTACTTACTTTTACCTAAAAAAAATAAATATATTCTTAATAAAAGGATGGAAGAGTCACAAACCCGTGATTTATTTTAGCTTCACTCTGTAGCTGCTGACTGACTGTTGGTAGCTACAGCAGATGCTTGGTGAACCTAAAGTGCAATCACGGCCATAATGAAACAGTCGGGGGATTGAGGAGGGGCATTAAACACTTAGAAAACTTTTCCAATTTCTTCCTCATCAGGTATTTGTATATTCGCGGAAGAGGGCTTACGGCTGATGCTTCTGCTAATGAATCCGAACCGACCGACTGCGAGGTAATCTTGCTTTGTTAGGGAGATGTTAGTCTTTATATTTGAAACAAAATTACTCATCCAGCATTTGTATACAAGATTGGTGTTCGAGATCCGTAGACAATCTAGATGTTCCAAAAGTATCGTTGTGCAAGGTGAGCTTTTATTGTGTAAGCGCTATTTTGATGAATATCTATAAAAGTTCATTACAAAAATTGTAGCAACTATACGCTCGTTGCTTGGAAAACAAACTGCTGTTGGTCATTGACCAAAAAACTCCCACGAGGATCTTCCCCATAGTGCTTGCATGCATGCTTTAAGTTCCACCCTTTTTTGATTTTGAGCTCATAGGTGAGTGAAGAGCTGGGGCCAGCAAAGGGCCCCCACTAGAAACGGAGACCATAAAGACCTACCAGTGTAGATATTAGATAGGTAAGGCATTAATTAGCCTTTTTTCGTTCGTCATTCCGGCAAACTAATGCCACATTATTATTTGATGATTCATAAATACACATAAATTTTTCAAATAGAATCTCTTGTATATGTTAGCTTATTTTGGGAGGTCTTTTTAAAATAAGAAGTTTTCTGTGGGGTTTGGATTGCTGGTTTAGGAGCAAGAGAGATATTTTATAAAAGGAATCAATAAACTTTGACAGCTTGTAAGTCACTCTTGCAAATACACTATTACCTCTTGTCTTCAGAATGAGCTATCGCTTCTCGTATTTCAAACGCGTTTTCATAGCCGTGCTTTGTCTATACAGGATTTCTATAAAAGCAAAATTCACATTTCTCAGAGGATTTTGTGTTACACTTCTTGTAATCTTTCAAAATGTACTAAAGTTTGAGGGGTATTCGATATGTTTGCATTGCAATGGTCTTATCAATCACCTTGTAGAGAGGAATATTTTTGTAATCATCTCAAAAGAAGACACTGACTGACATATCAACACAGAGCTGAAACCACTGAACGTTAAACTTCAAATTAAGTAGGTTAGCCAAAGGAGTTTTGAAAATTCGTCCCCTTAAGGCGCAAAATAAAGAATGGCGTATATGTGACACTTTTTTTCGTTGAATGGATCTAGTTGAAAGTCTACGCCCAAAACAATTTCATTTAACATTTTCAGAACTTCACCCCCTCAAGGGATGGGGTCCCTATACAGGGTATCCCTAGAATTGAGACTTTCTTTTACAGAACGTATAGGTCTTAACTTTCAGGATACCCTGCATATGAAAGAGGACGCTAACTCACTCACTATTTTTGGAACCTCAACTCTAAAGAGGTTGGAAAAAAAGAGGAAATTTCCCACTTTGTCTAAGGGCCGGTTTTATAATCTCTAGTTGACCGGCGGTTGAATTTGAACCGGCGGTCAAACTGAAATTTCTGTATTATAAACCAGAACCGACGGTTCAACCGCCGGTTCAAGGCATCTGCGTTCAACCTTAGGTCGATCTAGCGGTTGAAATGTCAACCGGAGGTTAACATCATATCCTAACCTAAATTTATTGTTTACATTTGTCGTAATAGTGTACTTCGTCTGCTTATATTTTACCAACTTGGATTATTATAAGCATTTTCAACTATCAATAAAACGACGATTTAAAATAAAATGTCGTCTTCTTCATCTTCGAATGAAAATATACACGGCAGATTACTTTGGCAAACTAGCAGTGAGGATTCTTCAGATTCTGAAAATGAGAATCGAGTGAAAAGTCCAAGAGCCCCTCGAAATTTTAGAAGACGAGTAGATCACTTTACACGTTGGAATGACGAAGAATTTCGAGTAAGATTTCGTCTTAGCAAGGAAACAGTAACAATGCTAGAACAGAGATTTCATAATGTTTTAACACCGAAAACTGAAAGGTAAATATATTTAGTAAATCACATTATTTATACAAAAATGAAATTATAAATAAGAAAAATATCTCAATATACCTAATGTTTATCCTAGGAACTATGCAGTAACAGCAATGCAGCAAATTCTGCTTGTGCTTCGCTTTTGTGCTACAGGATGTATGTTGCAAACTGTTGGAGATTTCACTGGAATCCATAACACTACTGCATGTAGAATTGTAAAACGTGTTATTGGTATATTTGCATCTTTAGCAGCAGAATACATCCATATGCCAAACACACAAGAAGAAATTGATGAAGTAAAAAGGAAATTTTATACTATTGCAAAGTTTCCTCGCGTAATAGGAGCCATCGATTGCACTCATGTGAAAATAATTTCCCCAGGTACTTAATCTTTGACCTTGTTGTTAGTCATTTTGTTAATTTAGGCAAATTGGAAAGACTTAATATTAAAACATGTAATACTAACTTTTAGGTGGAGCTAATGCTGAGTATTTTAGAAATAGAAAAGGATATTTTTCTATAAATGTACAAGTAGTAGCTGATCCAAATTTATTGATAAGAAATATTGTTGCCCGATGGCCTGGTTCAACGCATGATCAAACAATACTGAACAATAGCTCAATAAAGGCACAGTTTGAAAATAATAGATTTGGGAACTCTGTAATGCTGGGAGATTCAGGATATGCATTAAAAAAATACTTAATAACACCTATTGTTAATCCAACAACTGAAGTGGAACAAGTATTTAATGAATCTCAAAATAGGAGTCGAAATCCAGTTGAAAGATTATTTGGTGTTTTAAAAAGAAGATTTCCTGTTCTCTCCCTTGGTATAAGATTATCTCTGGAGACAGCACAGACTCTTATTGTAGCATGTGCAGTTCTTCATAATATAGCAGTTAATATGAACGAGCCAGAACCTCTCCAAGATGATGATCAGAATAGAGAATGGGAGGAAGAAGAAAATGTGAATGGAAATGATGTTCATAGGTTGGAACATAACTTTAGAGAAGAATTTCTTATATACTTTATGAATCTATTAGAAGAAAATCAATAAACTATTTTGTATGATAATTTATTGAAATATATTTATAAATGTATTTGCAACGGTCTAATGATTTCTTCAAAGTTTAGCTTTAGTAGGTACTTCTATCTTTTTCTAATGAAGTTTAGCAAATTCATACAATGAAACATGTCATGGGATTTATATTTTTCATTATAAATTTATTTTCTATCCTACACCAGAAAAACAACTTTCTAAGTTTTATTAATACTTTATTGATTATGCATCAATTTGTTTCTGCAATAGTAAAATTTCATATTCTAATTTTTTATTTTGGAGCTGCAAGTTTTTAGCTTTCAACTCGTGTAGTTCCTGCTCATTTTTCATTTTTTGTTCATGGTGTTCTTTGTTTCTTGCAGCTTCTTCGTCTAACAACTTCCTTTTTAGAGATGTTAGGCCCTCTTTCGATGACTGTTCTTCACTCCTTTTTCTTTTTCCTTGAAGGACTCTGTGTTTCCTTGATTGTAAGTGTCTTGGTGTGTAATCAGACCAATCTAAAATAAATACATATATACACTACATTGCACCGAGTATATAGTAAGCACCTACCATGTATCACTTTAACTGCCAGAGGGGATTGCTGTGGTACTGGTACAGACGGTGTTTGTAACTCACATGTCTGTTCTAAAGCTTCTGTGTTGCTTTCAGAATCTGAAATTGTGAAAATTGTACAAATGCATTTGTTTTAAATTTTGTCAAAACTATCACCTTCATTTAACACTATAGACATTGATGCAAGATCAACATCCTCTTCATGTACATTTTCTGTATTTTTATTTGACTCGTCCATACAAACAGATGCCGCTTCTGAAAAAAATATATAATTAAAGTATTTTTAAGTTTAGATACATAACTGTGGGTGTTCACTGTAATATTACACAATGTCCATCATAGTACCTTCTTTATTTTCAAATGAGGCATCATCGCTGTCACCCACAGATGGCTGCAATCCATGCACTGATAAGCCAATAATACTTTTAATTTTCTCGTAAAGCATAATCACGGCTTTCTTCAGATTTCTCTCATCAGCACCACCACCAGTCCTCAACAAATTTTGCCTCCTGTTAGCTTCATACTTGCGTACTTCTTTTTTCAAATTATCAAATTTACACCTGAGTTGATCAGCTGTTCGTGATTCGGTTGTGGCAGAGTTGTATAGCTCAGCAATTTTCTCCCAAGCTGCTGCCTGAGAAATGATACTAACATTGAACTTTTTGTATTCAATGAAAATTAAAAACTTCACCTTTTGTTTCCACGTTACGGCGTCTGTCCTCTTGCACTCAACAATATTTTTGTATCTCAGAACGATATCTACCAAACTGTGGCAATGTGCCTCGGAAAACATCAATCTTTTGGTTGGTTTAGCAGTCATTTTTAGGCAGAGATAAACCCTTCTATTTTTAAGTAATGGTAATATATCACGTAATTATGAGAAAACATGGATTTAAACAAAAGCACAGGCACACAGAGAACTGTCAACACTGACAGTGTTGACAGCTCTTTTGCCGTTCTATGTTTTGTACGCCGTACAACATTTGTCTAGATGTCATTGTCATGTCATCAAATTAAGGTGACAGAACTGCCAACTGAAAAAATTAAAACTGAACCGTCGGTTGACAAACCGCTACCTGAAAGTAGGATCATAAAACACAATTGTCTTCAACCGACAGTTGAATTTCAACCTTCGGTTGGAAAACCGGCGGTTCAGTTTTACTTTTATGCAACCGGCCCTAATTCCTTCATGATATTCATCTATAATGTGGAGAATTTTTCAATTAAGATGCAGTCATTTTTGAATAATCGAGAATCTGTAGATGCGTGGAATCTTGAATCACTCTGTTCTCTAAAATGTCGATTTGTTCTTTATAGCATAAAAAGTGGAACTCTGCTTTGTTAAGCAATATCATACCAATTTCATAACACATTTTTCTCTCGGTGCCAGGCATGCTGCACTCCACTCAGTGTTTACTCCCTCTATTCCAGATTGCAACACAGCAATGCCTCCCGGTCAGATGAGTTGACAGTAGGGACCATTTGCGGCTTAATTCGGTGATGTTTGCAATTCCCGCAGCGGCTGCAACAGCGTGGATTGTATGGATTGACTGCGTGAACATTTTTGGTTGCGCTCGTGTTTCACGACGTGCCCGTCCATGTTTTAACGTAATTATTCTGCCACTATTACAAACGACACAATGTACAAAACAGAATCTCGTTTTCTAAACCAATAACGACTCTTCGACATCGGGGATTTATACATGGCGTTTTTGGAATAAGAATATGGACCCATAGCACCCAAACCAACACAACTAAAGGTAAGGTACTATATAAAGGGGTACTACTCCACAAACTGAATTTCGGCACCTAATATCCAAAAATCTGGAGGTTGAACAAATGGCGCTCACACTACAATCTCAGGAGAAAAGTGACTGACACGAAACACCTAATTTTGTGAAGGAAGGTTAAATGAGTAGCCCTGAAGAAGATATGTTCGATAGAAAACCAAGTAACGCAGAAAAACCACAGAGTTTTTTTTTCCAACACAATACTGAATCACTGAGAAAGAAAGAAGTACGTGTGAAATTATACAATCAATACACTACGAAATTTAATACCATTAATAAAGAGAAATTCACTAGTAAGTGATTAAAATAGTAAAAAAAGGTTATGTGATTTTGGCATGTGACAAGCCACCTTTCCTTGGAGTAGGAGGGTATCTACAGAGTAAATAACCGACGATAATAAATAATGCTGAGCTACCAATAACCTATAGGGACAAGAATCAAACTGCCTATACTTATCAAAGTGAATATCCACACTCACACAAAAATTCCCACCCAGAAACAAAAAACTCTAAGCCTAAGTAAACGAAATCCGGTAGATCATGCCAAGAAGGAGCAAGCGAAGAGCAATGGGCACACTAGCCATACTTCCTAAGTGGAAACTGGCATTGCGTCATCCTCGTTGAGCTTGAGGATAACCTCATGTACCAATCTCATTCCGAAACTAAGGCAGAGCCCCCACTACTCCTCTCCGTGCACCAAGCCAGACATGATCAACCGATGGTGGACAGAACAATAACTAGAATTATGACCCATATTTCTACCTTTATATTGAGTTAAGATATAGTTCCACCAGACTGAAAGGTGCTCGAGGCATCAGGATTCGGTCAAACAAAGAAACAAAATTACATAGGGTGTTCCGTGATGTGTTCCTGCTGGGCATCCGTCAGAAAACTCTTCTGCGTGGTAGCAACGGGGTGTTTGGCATCATTAAGATCTTACTGAGATGCCGACCAAACCAATCTCCCCCCGACGCACACCCTCCCGAATAAAACCTGCACAAAGGACAACAAAATGGGGCCTGACACACGACGGCACTCAAGACAACACAGCCTTTAATGAATCAACCTAAAATACAGAAAAAAGAAATTGATCGAAACCACACAACAACACTAAAGGTCAGTGTAATGTCTTAGTTGGTATCAATAATACCCGGAAGTATACTAATGGTTTATTATATATCACCGATAACTGTTACAAATCCGGAACCCCGACGTACTGTGTGTTAAACGTATCCCGGTGAGAGTACTCATCGTACATGCGCAATTTTCGGGGAACCAGGGGCGTACTTAATATACTACATTCATCTCCCCCGAAAATTGTTAACAGTGATCAGATGGGTAACAATAAAAAAAAGAAACAATTAATGAATGGTTAGTATTGGAGCCTATCCGGTACCTTACGGATACGTATGGGTCGTGTAAGTTCAGCCTGTTCACCAATGGAGCTAGAATCCGAGTCACTGACATCCACGCGTTCACTATCCGCGATTCCGGCATCCACAAACACATCATCAACCGAACTACCGGCAGAAGTATTGCTGGCGCGATCACTATTGGAAAAAACGTTTACAGTGTGCGGTAGCTCCACGCAGGGTGGGTAGACCAACGAATAATCATCATTTAGTTCTCTGATCTGATTAGTATGTCTTTTCCAAAGGAAATTTGAATCTAGTGGTCGAACAACGTAAACGTTTTTCCCTAAAATTTTAACAACTTGTCCTTTACACCAAGTTACTTGTTTATCGCGATAATCTTTAACCAACACAATTTGGTCAATATTAAAACATACTTTCCTATTTCCTCTGAAGTATTTTGCGTTTCTTCGTTGAGAACGTTGTATGTTTTGGTAAACATTTTCAAGTTCAACTTTTTCATTGTCTTGGACTGAGCTTGGTCTAAGCATGTCAAATCGAGTTCTCAGCGAACGACCTAAAAATACTTTAGCAGGAGAATAACCAGTAGAACAGTGAACAGTATTCCTATATGTCATAAGGAATTGAGCTAATAGTAAATTACAGTTCTTTTGATCACTAACCTTTTTCAAAAACAGTTTTTACGCTATTTTCAGCTGCACCATTACAATGAGGTTCATAAGGCGGAATAGTTATTAGTTTAATACCATTAACATTTGCAAATTGTTTAAATTCTTCTGACACTAACTGGGGACCATTATCACTTGCAATAGTCTTAGGCAATCCAAATCTAGAAAAAAGTTCTCGCAGCTTTGTAATAGTCATGTTAGTGGTAACAGATGCCATCGGAAATACTTCAAGCCATTTGGAAAAGGCATCAACGACAATCAAAAAGAAATTGTTTTTCTTCGGTTCAAAAAAATCTATATTTATCCGCGACCAAATGCCCTCGGGTATTTGCCAACATTGTAACGGTGCCTTGGCCGGCGAAGATTGCAAGCGTTGGCATATGTTGCACTGCTTACTAACACTTTCAATATCAACATTCAAGGACGGCCACCAAAAGTAAGATCTCGCAAGATACTTCATTTTAACAATTCCCAAATGGGTAGCATGCAACTCCTTCAATATCACCTCTCGTAACTGAAATGGTATGATAACTCGATGTCCCCAAAGCAGGACATCGTCTTCAACATTGGTTTCATTTTTCCTACTGAAATAAGGTTTCAATTCATTACTTTTATGACTTGCAGGCCACCCCTTTTTAACAAAATTGAGTACCTCAGAAAGTACTGAATCTGAGGATGTAAGTTCTCTGACCTTGTTAACATCGACTGGTATACTAGAATTGGAATTAGTGAGATAATTTAAATGAATGGGGAAGTCGATCAGTTGCACAGACATGTCATCTTCAATCGGCATTCTGCTTAAGAAGTCAGCTACATTTTGAATGGATGACACATGCTTGATATCAAAATTGAAGCCACTCAGAAAATGTGCATATCTCTGCAGTCTATTTGCTGCCATCACTGGAACACCCGTTTTAGGTCCAAAAATTGACATGAGTGCCTTATTATCTGTGACCAAGGTAAATTTTCTACCCCACAAATATTGGTAAAATCGTTTAATACTCCAAACAATCGCGGTAGCTTCTTTATCCAAAATAGAGTATGCCAATTCGTTTTTCGAGAGAGTTCTTGACGCATAACAAATTGGCTTTTCGACATCATTTTCAAAAACATGAGATAAAACTGCTCCCACTCCATAGTCCGAGCTATCAATAGTCAAAGTAACTGGTAGGTCAGGATTATAATGCACCAACACATCGTCAGAACATAATGCAAGTTTAATATACTCAAATGAATCCTGACATGTTTTATCCCATGACCAACTTACATCTTTTTTCAAAAGATTATATAAAGGGTGAAGTATATCTGGGAGATTTCTGATGAAACGATCATAATAAGTGATACTGCCTAAAAAAGACTTAAGTTGAGTGACATTTTCTGGTGGAGAAATGTCGCGTATTGCCTTAACTCTTTCTAAACTTTTATGTAGGCCTGTCTCGTCTATAACAAACACTAAATATGAAATGGAATCAGCCAAAAACACACACTTTTCTTTTCTAACAGTGAGACCACATTCGGAAAGACAAAGTAAAATCCTTTTCAAATTTCTAATATGATCTTCTTTATCGATACCTGTAACTAAAATATCATCAAGAAAAACACATACACGGGGCATTTTATTGAACAGCTGCTCCATAATTCTTTGAAATTGTGGTGGAGCGCAGTTTATTCCAAACGGCAATCTATTGAATTCGAATAAACCTTTGTGAGTCGAAATAGTCGTAAATTTTTTTGAAGAGTCCTCGAGCTCTATTTGATTGTAAGCCGATGAGAGATCAATTTTGGAAAATTGCTTTCCATTTTTCAGTTTTGTGAATAAGTCGTCAATTCTAGGCAAGGGAAATTTGTCCACTAGAATAGCTGAATTAATAGTTACCTTATAATCACAACAAATTCTTATTCCTCCATCTTCCTTCAAAATTGGTACTATTGGGGTACCCCATTCTGAAAACTCCACTGGAGGTATTATACCATTAGAGACTAATTTATCTAATTCCTCCTCCACTTTACCTTTAATTGCAAATGGTAACGGTCTAGGTTTATGGAAAATGGGATTTGCATCAAGTTTAATATATATGGAGATCTTACACTTGTTGAACCTTCCCAAATTGGTTGCAAAAACGCCAGGAAACTCATTACATAGAGCATCAACAGCATCGTTGTTCAAATAATGAATTTCTCCAAATCCCATATTATAATTCCTAATAAAATCTCGACCTAGGAGCAATGGATTGTTACCATCAACAACAAAAAAGCGTAGGATGCTATCTTTGAAATTACCCCTACCGTGACAAGAGTTACAAATATATTCCTTATAGGGGCATACATTACTGTTGTGGTTCCTCCCGCAGCGGAAACAGCCCTTAGAGCGACCAGGCGATGTGAACGGCTGTAGCTGCGGCAGCGCCATGTTTGAGCTGTTGCCCCCACTCCTGCGCGTGCCTCCTTGGCTCCGCTGCGCTGCAGGTACTGCTGTCCCCCTATGATACCGTTGAGGATCTTGATGTTGATCGGCAGTGGCACCAACATTTGAATTATTTTGTGTAATTCGAAAAACATCCGATTCTAAGACCTCGCTTATAACTTCAGCAACTGGGTCTCTTATTACTAGCGTTGCTTCGATAATTTTGGCCTTTTCAACAGCGTTATTTAAGGTGGTGTTCTCGTTTAGGGTGAATAATTCAGTTCTCACCTTCCCAGGATTGAACTGCGTAACAAAAATGTCCGTTAGCTTGGACTCAAGCTGCTGACCAAAATTGCAATAGCGAGCTAAACCTTTAAGTCGTACACTCCATTCTAGTGCCGTCTCATTTCCTGATTTGGATGCACTATAAAACTTCTGCCTCTCGACCCATACAACAGCAGTTTTACCATAGTAGTTAGACAATAACTGAACTATGTCTTGGTATGGGGTTTCTTCCGGCTTGGTATGGGGTTTCTTCCGGCTTTTGCGGCATACATAAATTTTCTAATAAAATATACGCCTCCTCAGACAAACTATACAGCAAATGAGCTCTCTTGTCAGCTTCTTCAGTGACCCCGTGTACTATAAAATACTGCTCTAACCTTTTGAAGAAAACTTCCCACTCGTTCTCCTTGGGATTGAATGTAAGCACGGGACCCGCTGCTGCAACTGCCATCTTTCTTGTGCACAGATTGGTTCACCAACAACTGGAGGTTCCAACACAAACGGGGAGTTTACACACACTTAACCTCACCCGGCGAGTTCTTTAATAACCCTCGTCGCCATGTAATGTCCTAGTTGGTATCAATAATACCCGGAAGTATACTAATGGTTTATTATATATCACCGATAACTGTTACAAATCCGGAACCCCGACATACTGTGTGTTAAACGTATCCCGGTGAGAGTACTCATCGTACATGCGCAATTTTCGGGGAACCAGGGGCGTACTTAATATACTACAGTCAGTATCGCTATAAAAGGTCAAAATCGCTATAAAAGGTCAAAATCAGGTAATAACAAGATCATGATCAAGAAATGAGCTATGCGACACATTCGGAAAGTATTTATAGGCAACACCTGGTCGGGCGATAATTGAAATTTCTTATTAAATGATGAGTGAGTACTTCATTTTTCTGCCATTTCAATGAATAATAACTTCGTTATTTTGAACCTAATTATACACACTGTACAAGCTATATATTCGTTAGGAAAACTTATTTCATGACAAGAAATCTGGAGGTTAAGAAGCGGATGCAAGGATGGCATAAGACTTCTAAAACTGCAAAACTGAAAGATACATATGACTTTCGTTTAATACAATACTAGATACCAATTAGTTCCTGTCCAGAGAAAGTAATGCATCTAATTTAAACCTAAGTAACAAATGTTGCAACTCAACAACCATTTGTACAAAAACTTACCCCACTGAGTAAAAATCGCCGAAACGTGCGTTTTGTCCTCTGTACGTACCTAGAAAAAAAAGACAAAATTAGTACGAAAGAAAAAACTGACGTTTCAGCATGCTAACTGGCTGTAAGCATAAGTGAACATAGTAGAATAGTGATTAAACATTCAATTGAAACCCATCTTTCGTCCGGAAAAAAATTATTGGGAAATATATCTACAGATAATTACCACTACTCTTAAGCCACATATCCCACTCATCAATCAAAACGTCGTGATCTCGGGAATTTTATTTAGAACGGAAGTCCGGAATAAAAAAATGGATCCAGTTTACTTATCAGTAGCTACGTGCGATCAAAGCTCGGTGCGATGTTGAATTCAAATAATGATCGTGAAAACATTCGAAAGAGTTGTGAAACCGATTCTAAGGCACCCGTAAATGCCAGCACTAAATTTACATCAGATTGAAGTCCTTGCAGTCGATCTACCTAGGAAAGAACTTTTCAAGTCACAGATGAGCAAGAGTCTTAAATTTCCTCTAGAATTAGAATTTTAGGCCGATTCTGAAGTTGTCCTTAATGTATTTGGTCCTATTTACTATGTGCATCCTATTATCAGGTTAAAAATTGTAACATTCCTTCAAAGGGTCATTAACGATTTAAGTGATCACTAGATTCGGTTTCAGCGACCCAAAAAGGTATTTATTATACGCTTATTATTTAAACAACTTCCGGTAAAATCAGAACCGACACCATTTTAAAATATTTTAGCCAAAGTATTTCCATATTCCCTAATTTCATAACTCCCCAATACCAGTTTTTCTAGTAAACAGTTGCGAAAAGCCGTTTGCTCAAGATTCTCCACCTACTAAACCAATCAATCGATTTTAATCTTCCTTTAATTTGAATGACAATTAATTCAGCTACAAAGAGTTTTTGCAGTTTGTTGACAAACAACAAGTTGATCAAAAGCAAACAATTCAAGGCAAGACAATACAATCTGAATGGAATCAGGCAATCTATATTACCAATCTAACCGAAACAAATCTTAGCCCCGCAAATCCAATACGTTGAATACGAGTGACAGAAAATGATTATTTCTTCACCCCTGCATTATATATTCCCATTGGATTGAAACGGATGACACGGAAATACATTTCCATAACGCTGATGAATATGCATGGATTTTCCTTAATAAGACGACACCCCAGAGCTGCTTCAGTTTTGCTTCGTATTTGTAAGTTCCTTTGTGTCCGAGCCAACTTCTATATAAACTCACTAACTAGCAACATTTATTATTATTATTGCGCCCAGAAGTTAACTTTTAGAATTAACAACCGACTCGAGGATTCTGAGAGTTATGTCGCCGTTATTATGTTTACGATTTCTAGCGTGAGCTTTGAATAATGCATATTTTTCTCATTATAGAGCAAATAGTAATAATAATAGGTAGCTCTATATATACGCTCCGCATTTTTGTGACTGCAAAGTTAAATGGATATAGCTGAATCGTAATATGCGACATGCTAGAGGGTTTGAAACTTTACCAGTTCGAGTTGCAGAAAAGACTGATTCAGCGCTACCTACTGTCTTGGGATACCATGTCCAAAAAGTCATTAGAGAAAAATGTAATTTTAAGCTCACTCCTCACAATTGCCGAAGCTGGTTGGCATTGCAGTTGTTCAAATTCATCATAGAGCGCTACAAGATCCCACAACGCATCCGTATTGTTAAAACGTTTTACTTAAATAATGAGTTGATTGTTGCAACGATTTGGAAGCTATGACAAGATTTCTGTCGAAATAATGTGCGCAGAGTTCAAGAAATTTGAACAAACAGGTAAAGTTTAAGACTTTTCAAGGTCGGGCCATGTTCGAACTGTTCATACTGCGAAAAATATCGAGAGTTCGTGAAAGTGTAGTGGAGCGCCCTAAGACGTCTACCAGACATCGTTTTGAAGAACTGGGTAGCCGTCGCATGTCATTATGCACTATTTTAAAAAAAGACCTGCATTTGCGGACACAAAATTCAGCTAACCCAAAAACTACAGCCTAGTGGCCCTGAAACTCGCCGATAAATAATGAGTAATGAAGCCCACTTTGATCTGAACGGATTTGTTAATAAGCAGAATTGTCATATCTGGGCATTAGAAAACCATCGTGTCATCCACCAACCTCCACTACATCCTCATCTAGTCACATTTTGGTGCGGTGTTTGGTATGGAGGTGTCATTGGATCTTACTTCTTCGAAGACGCTGCAGGAAATTCTCTTACTTTTACTGGCGAGCGCTACCGTGATATTGTGTAAAGCTTTCTGGCTCCTGAAATCTAATCAAGATGTGGTGCCAGCAGGAGGGAGCAACTTATCACACAGCTTGGGAAACATTGCGAACAATATTTCCGGGACGTTTAACTTGTTGATTTGGTGATGTCAACTGGCCGCTAAGGTCACCGTATTTAGCGGCTCCTGACTCTTTTTATGGGGATTTTTGAAAACCCCTTTACAGTATTTTATGCCAGCAAACCAAATACTGTCAAAAAGCTGAAAAACAATATTACGGAAGCAATTGAAAAGATTCCTCCCGAAATCTACCGAAAAGTGATAGAAAATGTAATAAAGAGGGCTCAGGTTGGCGCGGCTTCTAAAGATGGCCATTTGTCTGATATTCTTTTTCGAATATGATTTCTAAGCGTCAGTAAAATATTGAGATGGAAAATATGCAAGTATTTTTGTTTCATTACACAAAAATTTAATATACAAACGAGTCAGATACATATCGGCCACCCTGTAACAAAGCATTTATTCGAATCGCAAACTGAGGATTTAAATCATTTACCAGATATTAAACGTAAACACTACTTTAATTGATGAATTCAAGTAGCTAGCGAATGTATGTTTCTTCACAATTTAATTAATAAAGACCTCTAAATAAATGCCTTAATGTAGAGAGAAATAGGGAAGTACCTCTGTTCGTTTGAGAACAAAAAGGCTAAAATATGGCCCTACCTTCCAGCCGACGGTAAAGGAACTTAGCCTTAGAATGGTAGGTACTTAGGTACTAGATTTTTCAATGTTCATCGATCGTGAAAGTTGTTCATATTTTCTTGTTGCTAGGTGAATACTTGAATAGCCGCCACTCGTTGTATAGTCAAAAACTTTACCATTACTTTCACTGTAGCGGTTGTAGATACAGTTTTGTTCCTGAGCGTTATAAGCGTTTATACCCATGGGCGTTCTAGAAGTCACGAAGCTTAGCATTCAGGGTTCTAAGTTTATGCTCGAGCCATAAATGTCTTAGATACTCAGTAACAATTGAAGGCACAAGTGGATAAAGGTGTCATGTAACATTTTTGTTAAAATTGCTTTTTTGCAATAAACTAACCTCAAACGGTAATTATTTCACTCTGTGATTGATTTGTTGCAAAAACAAGATAATAACAAACTAATTAAACTAAATATTTAAAATTTCAATAAAGTAAAAAGGCTCAATAAGAAATGATTAAAGTCAACTTTCTCCACACAATGATTTTGTTACATGACACCTTTATCCACGTGTCTCTTCAATTATACAATAAGTCTAGACGATCACTTAGTCTCAGTAGAACATGGACATAGGAGAATTGCTCCCCTAGTCATTTTCGCGATAAAAAGTGCAGAAGTCTGGCAATGGTCCATAAGTCTCATCTCTCTAAAGATGAGGTCTACTGATAGAGCGTTCAGCGTTATGATAAAAAATCCAAAATCATATAATGTTGCCAACAATCTTTTTTTATTAGCATACAGATTTGCCCTTAGTGCCAAGCGGTAGTGCAGGCGACCGTCTTTTGCGAGTTTGAACTTGTTGACTTCGGGTCAGAAACATGAAATAAAAACGCTTTGCAGCAGGGGTGGCCGCAGTAGTAGACTCTTCGGTCTCCTGATCAGTCGCCGTGCGCTGTTCCTGTTCGAGTCCCGTCCCAGGAGAAATGTTTCTCTTGGCTATGGATGTTGTGATTGTCCGTAGGTTGTTGGATGGTCTCTGACTGTCGAACGCGGAGGTACCACCCGGCGGTTCTCGTGGGCGGAGCCGGAATGTGTGCATGTTGCATGCACACGTGTTCCCTCGCCAGAGTCCGTGTGGCGTGCCCCCTTTCCCATGTATCCCCCATAGCCCCACGGTACCCAATGGGTGCTTAGGCCTTAGGCCTTCGTGGTAGTTGGAGTATAAAAAAAAAAAAAAAAAAAAAATCAACGCGTTCGCAAAGTTGAAGGACGAATGTCGACAGCTGCCAGAATTTAGGACCATTCCCCAGAGAAGAGAGCCACGGCCACTTTTCCTGAGCGATTTTTCTCCCTCATTTTCAAGAATGGTGTCCCGATGATGAAACTAAAATAACTGGTTAAGGGCCAATTTTATCAACAACAGTCCGTTATTCTCCACTTATAGGGTAACAGACCGTCAAATACAACGAATGAGCTTCAAGTTCCAATCAACAAATTTTAGCAACCAATAGCTATGAAATGTTGAAAGCAAAATACTGTCAAAGTATGAGATGACAGCTTGTCATTGAAACATCACCAGCTTATTGAATATTATGTTGGATTTTTGAATAAAATTCGTGTTTCAATTACTATTGTTGATTTTTTATTCATGTTTATATTATTTTCTTCAATTGATATGCGATACTGGGTGTTTTTCCTATAAACCTCATGCAGATAGCCATTAAGCACCTACTTGATGACAGGCTCTACCAAAAGATATTGCTCGTTTCCAAACATTCATTCATTTACTTGCCGTTCATCAGAACCATTATGGCACCTTAGGTTGATATTCTCACAAAACCATTCAGGTTCTTTGATATCCATACATCCATAAAGTTGAATATTTTTCGTTGTTCAGGAACAGAACAAACATCCACACTATATTCACAGCGATTAAGAAATTCCCAAAAATATGCCTTAAAGCTACCAGCAAACCTAAAACCTGCAAAAAAACTACAAATTTGCCATATTTTCCTTTTTTCACGAGTACGCATTCTAGGTTATATTTATATTAAACATTATTTGAATACAGCTGATTATTATTA